TCTCTCTCTTTCTCTGCCCTCTCTCCCCTTTCCAATGGCCTTATCTCTTCCCCCTTTCTCTCTCTTCCCTATCAACCCCCCCCCCCCCCATCTGTGTACCTCTCCCTCTGTATCTATTCCCCTCTCTCGGTACATTAAGCTATTTTGAATATAATGTGCATTAATGAATTCATGTTAATCATCATCATCCAAACTTTAAAAAATATGTCAATCTGAATTTTATATAGGCCTATATCTTACCCATGAATGAAGTTGGATTATTTTTGTCCTTTTTACCCCTTTTTACGAAATGATTGTATGAGTATAGTATGATTTATTCTTGATATATCAAGTTCATATAAGTTCTCAGAAGTGTATTGACCAATCTACACAGTCACATTTTAAAGAGATTGATCAATAAATTGGAGTCATTCCACCGAATGTGGAATATTCGCTACGCACCCCATAAGGTGAGAGAGAAAAGACGTGCCCAGAATTTGATATGCCTATAACAAAATTAAGTGAAAACATTAAAAAAAAAGAAGTATATTTGAGTCTAGCTTAGTTTCCATTCTTCCTGCAGTATAGTGCCAAGTGGTTCAGTGTGCAATCAAAATCGGGAAACGAATGACTAACCTTGTTTGTTGAGTGGGATGGTCGTTCCCATTCCACATAGTCCACCACTCTCACCCCCCTCTCACCCCCCCCCCCCCCCCCGCCCCCCTCCTCGGTCCATAATATGGCCTATTTAATTTTGATCTCCACCACACCAACGCAATATGCAACATCCCCCTACTGTGTTGCTGCCAGCCGAAGATGGCGTTATCATTAAATTAGGACGCCCGGCGAAAAAAAAATGGCTGGACTGGTGAGGGAGTCAGCTCAAAGAGATTCGATCATAACATCTGTTCCTTGATAACGCCATCTTCGGCGGCTTGAATCAATACTAGTTGGGAATATAATATGAAGAACCGGCCAGATATTGGACTATTCCCCTCCCCTTCTCTCTCTCTCTCTCTCCACTCTCTCTCTCTCTGTCTCTCTCTCCTCTCTCCTAGCTCTCTCTCTCTCTCTCTCTCTCCGTCTATTTACCTTTCCCTCTTTATGTATTCCCCCCTCTGTACACTAAACTATTTCGAATATAATTTGCATAAATAAAATAATGTAAATCGTCGGCACCCCATAAGATGAGAGAGAAAAAAGGTGTTCACAATTTGATATGCCCGTGTGGAAGGCTGTTCCCTTTCTTCTACCCATCCATTCTACTTGCAGAAGTGAAAAGTGGTCCAGTGTGCAGTCAAAATAATTATCATAACAATTTAGACACGAATGTCTAATCTTGTTTGTTGAGTGGGTTGGTTGTTCCAAAATTCCACAGTTGAATTTCAGTAGATGTAAATTCGCCCTGTATTTTTGTGTGTGGATGATAAGCGCCCCCTAATGGTAAGATAATACGCTCAACGAAGAAAGATCGCAATTTGTTTAAGGTAGATAGTGACTGTGTGTATACGTAGCTAGCTCAGCTTCGTTTAGAAGATTGGAGGATCTATTGCAGGACTTATTATGAACGAATATATAACTAAATAAACAACTAAATAGATAAATAAAATACCGAAACATATATAGTAATAATACATGTACATTATTAATGAGTACTTTGGAAAAATCTGTTCTAGTGCATGGGGTGTACTATACGATGAACTTTGTTTAAAGTGCACATAAACTGAAGGCGTTGTTCATGCTTTTATATTACGTAAGGCAAGCAAAACCTTCTTTGAGTACATACATAACGGATTTAGTTTTACATGCTTTTAATCTTAAAATAGAGATAGATATTATTTTATTACTCAAAATGAATTTGCAAGCCCAAAATCGATTTGATTATGACGATTGCATTTTGGTGTATTTATAATTTTGTATGAGTATGAGTATGATAATAGGGATTCGTATTCGATATATAATATTTTAGAGAAAAATGACTCACAGACTAAAAACAAATGCACATTTGAAAGTACAAGATATGAGCTTTCCTGCAAATTTACTTAGTTATATCTGAAACAAATATTATATGATGTTCCAATGTTTTGATAAATTATTTGTGAAATCATGTTATTGTTGCCGGCATATTGAATAAACGCTATGGAGGCAAAGAAAAAGAAAAAGATAAGTAATACATAAATGGTAATAAATACAAACTAGCTTGAGTCACACATGATTGGCAATACATTTTATGGGTTTTGTTGGGTTTACATTAAGACACTGTTTGTGTTACGTATATAAATTGTTAAAAAGTAAATGATACATTATGTGCTCGGCTATATCTAAACCTCGTGATTTTAGGTACCATCAATATGCATCGTGTGAGCTCATAATTATTATCTAAAGTAGGCCTACTTAAAAGCCTTTATTTAGTGACATTACAATCGAACTATTGACCAATAAAACTAATTACTAACAATAGAGTGACCAGCCAGTGTCACTTATAAGGTCTCAATATAATGTTCATCTGACCGTAATTAAATGCAATCACAAAATAAAAGATAAATACTGAGAGCAAACAAATATATTTCTCGTCATAATTATGAGCGATGGCTTATATAAACATGTCCGTCAATGGGAGAACAACATCAGCCCAAACCCAAAATGGACTATTGCACTTTATACAGACCCTGAACGGAATGTCCTTGTATATACGGTGTATCCACTGGTGTACCAGTGGTGGTAGGGGCGAGGGGAGGGCACATTGCCCCCACTTTTTCAAGTACCCCCTTTTACATAGGAAATGTGCCCCTTTAACTTTGAAAGAAGTGCCCCTTTTTACTTTTGATAACTACCCTTTTTTAACTCGGATAAGCGCACTTTATATTTTCACATTTGCCCCTCTCCTTTTTAATAAGTGGCCCTTTTCCTTATGATAAGTGCCTCCATTTAAAAAAGAGCCCCTTTCCCTTCTCATAAGTGCCCCTTTTCATCTATGAAAATAGTTCCTTATCATTCTCATTAGTACCCCTTTTCATCTCTTGTAAATGACCCTATTCAATTCTGAGAGATACTCATTTTACTTTAAAAAGTGCCCCTTCCCCTCCTGATAAGTGCTTTTTTCATCTTATATAGATGCCCCTTTTATTTTGACACGTCCCCCTTGTCCTTCCTAATAAATGCTCTTTTTCCTTCTTATAAGTGCCCCTTTCCCTTATGATAAGTGCCCCTATTTACAAAAGAGCCCATTTCCCTTCTCATAAATGCCCCTTTTCATCTATAAAAAATAATTATTTTTCATTCTTAAAAGTGCCCCTTTTCATCTCTTGTAAATGACTCTATTCAATTCTGAGAGATACTCGTTTTACTTTGACAAGTGCCCCTCCCCCTCCTGATAAGTGATATTTTAATCTTATATAGATGCCCCTTTTATTTCAAAACGTCCCCCTTGTCCTTCCTAATAAATGCTCTTTTTCCTTCTTATAAGTGCCCCTTCCCTTTCTCATAATGACCCCTTTTTATCTTTGATTAGAGCCCCGTTTATTTTATCATGTGCTTCTTTTTATTTGTAATAAGAGCCACTTCCCCCTTCTCAGTCATAAAAGCCCCTTTCCCCTCCGCTAAAGGCCCCTATTAAAATCTGATCGGTGCCTCTTTTCTTTCAACAAAGTGCGCTTTTACCTTTATCATTAGAGCCCGTTTTTCATTTTCATAATTGCCCCTTTTCACCTCTGATAATTACCCTTTTAAACATGATTTTTGCCCCTTTCTCCTTTTTAATAAGGAACCTATCCCTTTTTCATATGCCCCTTTCACTTCTTTTAAATGCCCCTATCAAAATCTGATGGGTGCCTCTTTTCCGTCGACAAATGCCCATTTCCCATTCTTATAAAATCCCTTTTCATCCCTGGTGCGTGCCTCTTTTTGTAGGTGTTAGAGGTGCCCCATTCTCACTTCTGATAATTAGCCTTTGTACTTTGACACGTGCTCCTTTTCTTTTCTAATAGGTGTCTTAACCCTTTCGAAAAGTGTCCCCTTTTCCTCTATTTCGTGCTCCTAATTTCAAGCGACTAAGAGCAATTTACCTCCAAAGCACGCTCGCTCGTAGTTTTAGCCTAGATGTTATAATTATGTAACACCAAATGTCTGTTTAATCTTCCGTTATGAGCATGTGCTTATATAACCCCATCAGGATTGGGGTTTTCCTCTTTATAAGATGTAATTTTTCGCACTGTGACCTCACAAATCTCATAAATTGTCCTCGCTTGCTTTGCTCGCTCGCAATGATTTTCAGACCATCATACCCATCTGCAAAGTATGATGCTTAAGCAATATTTTATATGATGTAAAAAGAGAAACAATATTGAAATCATCCCTGATAATGTAATCACAATAGAGGGGTTTATACCAATGTCTAAAAAATTGTATATTTTCGCTTGAGGATTTCCCTTTGAAGGTGCCCCTTTTCCCAGAAAGTACCCTTTTTTGTTGGCGCCCCCCCAACTTTAGAAGTCGCCGTACCGCCTCTGCTCAGTTCAATTATAATGTCACTAAGGCTTACACCCATAGCAACCATAACAACAATTAAATCTACAACTGCTACTTTGACCAAAGAGCAAAATATTAGCCTGCCGACTTACTAGCACGACGAGCCGGCTCTTATTGCATGATTTTTTTCTCACAATACGAGTATTGTGAAATAAAAAATGTACCTGGAGAATGTACAGCAAATATTTAAAATTTCTTCTAGAAATGTTATCGTAAACGGTATACAACTATTACAAAAAAAAAGAAGCTAAACTCTGAACCTATTCATCATCATAATACAAAGAATATTATTACCATAATGATTGTGTCGTAACAAACAATATGCAAATCACGCGTATTCGTTTTCGAGTTTACAGCAGTGCGCACTAGCGCTAGGCGCAACGCGCATCCATTGTTGTATTATAAGCGCAGCTTAAATGGCATTGTGCATATGCGTACGCGCGTGCGCTATGCATGTACTATGTATGCATAATATTCATGTTTACCTCATATAGCGCATATTCTTATGCCTACTTTTCATCTTCGATGAGTGATAGACCCTACTTCAATTCAGCCTTTGATAATAAACGGATCGATTTGGTTAAGAAATTGGTGAGTATGATACAGACACTTATTCGAAAATGTGGGATTATAGCTTGGTATAGGTCTAATATAACTAAGATCGAATGATGGTCTAGATTCTAGATCTAGACTAGACTAGATCTAGACCTAACTTTTAGAGTCTATAGATCTAGGCCTAAACTCTAGTCTAGATAGAGTTCAAGGCAAAAGACTAGATCTAGTCTAGATCTACTTTGAGGTCGTTTTAGATCTACTTGACAAACTCATGGGTCGGGGCGGCATTAGTACCCGGGGAAAGGGAAGGGGGGGGAGGGGGGGGGGGGGGGGGGGGGGGGGAGGGGGGGGGGTTAGGGCTGATGATGATGATAATGACAATGATACTTCAAGCAATGATGATGTTTTTGATGATGGTGGTGATGATTGATAATTATGTCACGAAGATGATGTAGAGTCTAGACCTAGATCTACTAGGCTAGCCTATATCGATGTGATTGCACGAGGTGTGACTACATACAGGGAGCTCCACCGCCAAAGGCGTCGGAGCTCCAGAGCCCGCTAAGCCTAGACTAAGTAAGAAAAACTATTTAAACGGCGGGTTGGCCGTAGGGCACATTTTTTTCGAAATATAAAGAAGCAGTAGGCCTAGGCCTAGGGCCTAGATCTAGATCTATTCTAGATCTAGGCTAGTCTAATTACAATGTTTTTCGACTCCTCTTTACTACCACTAGACCTAGGTCTAGATCTAGGCCTACTTGAAATTATAATTTGAAGAAGTCTTCGATCATGGGGAAAATGCCGGGAAAATGGTGATTCCCCGTCTTTACCCAATGCATCCATGTGTAAATATCGTCGATTCAACGTCGAGCCAGAGCAAATGCAACATTGAGCTCCTAGAGTAAAGTACCCGGTAATCGGTCAGCTCCGGTTTTCGGCCAATTGGTTGGATACATGGTAAAATCACTTTAAAATACATCGCATAATAGCATAACACATATCCCACACATACCATACCATGCCAGTGTCACTGAAGAACCACATTTGCAATGGAAAATATATCCTAAAATATCACATTTTAGCGATGTAATCGGCGGTCCCGCTACCCAAATCTGAAAAATCGAGTTTCTTACGCGTGTATGTAAAAAATATGGGTACCATAAAATGAGCTTTATTTCAAGTATTTTTCAGATATAGAGCCCGATTTTGTGCTGGTCGCAAGCTCAAAAGTATCTCATCGCATGTATTAAATCAATGCAGCCGCACACCGCGACGCACACACGATATGTCCGTCTAATTCAGATTCCAACTTCCGATCACCGCTGTGCCTGTATTCGGCCAGGCGAGCACCCGGGAGCTCCGGCGTGGGATACCTGCTCCGCCCGCTTGTGCTATACATCAGCGCAGAAACGCACGGCGCGCGCGAGCGCTTCCTATTGACTTTGTACATGCGGCCGTAAACTGAAACGCTCGGCCGATAACCGGCTCCAAAACAGTGAAAATTGAAATGAATATTGTCATGGCAATTCGTGATTTTTTTGGGGGATTCTTTTTTTGTTTAAATAATAATAATATTTGCTTCATGATTTGAACAAGAAATGATAATAAATAGGAAGTAAAGAGTCCAATAAATAGGATTTTGTCTTAAGTGGCCGAAAACCGGGTACTTTACTCTACTAGATCTAGGCCTAGATCTAGGGGGCCTAGGCCCTATATGAAATCTATAGATCTATATTCAGCTGATCATATCTCGGCCAATACTCTAACATATTCAATTGGTTTTCGACCTTCCGACATTAATTTTGATGTTCTTTCGAAAAAATGAAGAACAAATTGAGAAATTCTAAATAAAGATTTGAATGAAAACTATGATGTCACACTCACAGCTTCGGTACTCTAGATCTAGGGTCTATACTAGTCTATAGTCTAGTCGCTCGCGTTGATTACGAGCTACATATTTTTGTTTTACCTTGAATCAAGCGTAACCTATGCTTGATTGCAAAAGACGTTTAATACGAAAATTGGCCAGAGTTACAATTGATCGTAAGATACAATCAATTGAATTGTAAATGAATCAATCTTAAGTCAGATTAATCTTACGCTTAATGGTTATATTAAATACGGGACCCTGGTCTAGTGGTCTAGAACTGAGACCTGATGCCTGACGAGTTACTACTCAGTCTACTACTTCATCTGACGCTGGATTCTGGACATAATCTTAAGTTTAACAAAACCGTGTTGATACCTTCTCTAAGTTGAATGAATTATTGTGATTTCCTCTACTAGGTTCTCCCACGCTCGCTCGCAAACGAAGCAACACTTGACTGAAAAATCATGATCAACGAAGTACCGGAATACGTAAGTATGGATATTTTGACTTTTATACAGCGATTAATGATATTTATTGCAGTTCACTATAACTATACATTATAAGAAAGGCAAACATTATATTCTCTGAGTGTGAAATAGATCTACGCAGATACTTTTTAATCGTTCAGAAATTCAGATAAAATCATAAGGCCTGTGAATTATGGGTTTCCGGACACTTTTTAATGAACAGTATACCATCGTGACTAGTTGTCCTTTATCTTTTTCAGGGATATACATGTATACTGGACATCATGGCTTATTTTATCACGTTTTACTAAATTCCATTTTCATTACCAGGGCCCCCGTCTTACGGAAGAGTTGCGATTGATTACAAATAATTTAAAATTGATATCAATCGTATCTCTTGTCTCTTTCGTACGTAGGCTACATGAGGTTGATATCATTTGCAGATTATTTGTGTGTAATTGAGTTTTTACAGAAGTGTATCAATCATATATGATTATTTACGTTTGGGAACCGGCTTTTCACATACATGTAAATACCATCCGAAAAACGCAACTCTGTTTCGAACCGCCCCCCCCCCCCGGGCTCTCCTTTTTTAAAGTGAAGACTGAGAGCTGACCAAGTAAACGTACTAGTACTAGACCAGCTGACATTTCCCCTAAATTTGCAATCAGTCGCAACTCTGTTATACACTGTAGTGGGTCCATCTAAAAATCACCATGTCATCCACAGTCCGGTGACGTATCCACAGGACCACTACACCAGGGACCCGTTTCACAAAGCCCCTTTTCAATGACAAATGACAAAAGTCAGTGACAAATCTGCTGATAACCAATCACAAGCGAGCATTTCACTAGCTTAAAATAAAAACTGTCATTTGTCATTGACAAGTTATACGTCACGTATTCTAATACATTGACCCTAATTTTATGACGTTTATTTCGTATTTTGCGGTTTGGTTGCCTAACATGTGATCAAGAGCCCCCAAAATATATACCAGAGGCAAGGCAAAGGGCGAAATATTCAGCACTAACTTATATCTCCTTTGAACGACCATATATTGCGTATGGTGTTAGAAAAAAAAAGAATACAAGAAAACGAGCTTCGTTATTCTTAAATTGGCATTTATTTGAGAGGTTCAAAATCATTGTATTTCGATAAAAAATTGTCAGTTTTTCCCTCGAAATTTCAACTAAGTTCATACCCATGTTTTAGTTTTTATAGACATTACATTTTACAACAAAGCAGCAATGAATTTGATGAATAGTAATGAGATCAATGTAGCCATTTGAATTGCGTTATGTACTGAAAGGATTAAACATGTAGGCGTATTCGTCATGTTTTGCTGAAGTGTATACCCATGCATTAATGACTTTAGAACTCGAATCATGTTAATGTCATTTATTTCTTACGTTCCCACAGGCTGCATCCCCGCCCAAACCTCCGGCCCATACGACAGTGATCGTCCGTCAAGCATCGCCTATGCCCGATCAGCATTTAATCCTGGCTATCTTCGTTACTATTTTCTGCTGTTTGCCCTTTGGACTTGTCGCAGTTATCAAAGCAAGTAACGTAAGTTTGAAGTTTTGTGTCTTTTTTTAAAAACATTTTCCCCAGGAACAGAAAAAAAGAAAACCTGACCCCTCCCCCCCCCCTATCAACACAACACAACAAATACAAACCGTGAAAAAAGGCATAAACAAAACATGGGGCAGTCAATAGAGTCAGACTTGACAGTGTTTTAAAATGGTACCCTTGTCAGCGCATGCGCACTCTTGTAACCATGAAAGGGTGTATACTAGGAACTTTCTAGCTTACTTGCTTACTTGCTTAAGTCGGGTCAACTGCCCGAGCTGTGATGGCTTTCCACACATTCCTGTCCAACATGGCTGCTTTTATCTCTGACAGTTCAAGTCCCGTATCCTTCTTGAGTAGGTCTGTATAGGTAAGATGAGGTCTTCTAGGTTTCTTCCCGTATTTAGGTTTCCAGAGTAAAAGCTGAGAACTTTCTAGCTAGTTTAAAGCGATTTCATGTCATCCTGATCTTAGTTTCATTTGACATACATAAAGGTACCTGGAAACAAAATATTCACCCTCTCATTTCAAAAGTTCATGTATGATGTGGGTTTCTGGACACTTTAACAAACATAACGACTTCTCTTTTGCTTTCGGATTTAACGGAAAATATTCATCAAATAGCCCTAATTATCATGATCAAGAATAGTTGTCCTTTAAAATTCGGTCCAACATAAATTCTTATAAGATTTATGATATTGCTTGTAAACTTCCTTAAATTGCTGGTTTGAACCAGCTGTCAGGGTACACAACCTGCCTGGACACACGATATCTGTGTATACATGTAAGAATAAGATTATTGACTTGGTGTGCGTTGCAAATAGGACTGACAATAAACATTATAAATCATCAAGGGCTTGACTTCGTGTTCCAGCCTCTAGAACGGATTTTTAGATTTACACAACGAGAGCGTGGACTGCCGCGTGTGACATCGTGTTAAGGCACTGGGCCGTGCCAGGCTGTGCCTTAAAAGGACATCACATTGCGTCAAAAGGATGTCATACGTGGCGGTCAACGCTCTCGTCGTGTAAATCTAAAAGTTCCTATTATTATTGCTAAAGCCCCACTGCACTACTTGTAGCTACTTGCGCTCTCTATACAGTCAACAATACATAAGCGGTACCCGTTGATCCCCCATGATTCCCTTTTTCTTACGTTAATTGAGAGGGGATTGATGAGATAACCACCTGACACTGACCTTAGAGGGTAGTATAATCCCTCAATCCTCAATGCCAATCTAATGCAGAGGGGATTTAAGGATCATATTTTTCGCAATAAACAACCGTGAAAAAAAGATGCTGCGTCCTTAAAAAAAAAAAAAACAACTTATAAATAAATGGAAGCATACCCTAGAAAACGGTCCTACGCGCTTTTTACTGAGCTCTCTCTTTTTGAGTTTTTGATTTTCTTCAATGCCATTGCAAGGATGACATGAAAGAAAGAAAGAAAGAAAAACAAAAACATTGTCATTGTGTTGTAAAATACAGACACGTGAAACGTATTACACATTACGTCATAAAAAAAAAAATTAAAAAAAACGCACAGTTTTGCCGCGTCATATGTACATGTATGAATTTAAAAAGACGCCTTCATGCGTTTTTTTAATGTGTTTTGTATATAAATATATATATATATATATATAAATATAAGTGATATGGTATAGTTTGATTGGATTACAAATGTGTGCCTTTAAACACATACATGTACGAGGGATTAAAAGTTTAACCACAAACATAAATAATCGAGTTATAGCGAGGAGAGGCGGGGGCGCTTAAGTAGTAAACTTCCATTTGGCCCGTTTACATTTCGTCTAAAACTTATCGGCCTAAAACAATTTTGTCAAAAAAGCATTTGGTCTAATTACCATGAAGTGGCATCTTCTTCTTATCGAGTCACTACACAAGTCCCGTCCAGTGGTCCACACAGGCTTTGGCACGGCAATTCACAGCTTCCAGGTCATCTTGGGTGCATGGCTCTGGCAGGAGTGGGCAGAATAGCAGGTGTTCCATTGTCTGTTCCTGGCCGCATTCACATACCGTTTGTTCGTCTCCTAGACCCCACCTCTGCATTAGGACTCTGCATCGACCGGAGCCAGTTCTTAGGCGGTTGAGGCTAAGCCAGGTAGGCCAAGTCTCACTGGAGCCGGTTGCGAGGGATTCCTTCGGGCTGTGGGAGAGTTTATGTGGAGTGGTCTGAAGGTGGTTAGACCACAAAGTCATCCTTTGGTTGTGAGGGCTAGTATTAAGAGGCTCTACAGAGTGCAGAAAGCTGTGTCTGGATTTGAGCCGCTTGCCCACTGGCTAGTGTTCGAAGAGTGGGTGGAGTGGATTGTTTTCTTGTTTGTCCTTTTCTTTCTGGGACAAGACCAACCTTCTGACGTGTGGAGGGGCAATACCGCATAGCAGGTAGATGTCTTCTACTTTAGTTGGCCTAAGGCATCCAGTGATCGCTCTGCAAGATGAATTTAGAGCTGGGTCAATCTTGGGTGCATGGGCCGACCTACTCCATACTGGTGATGCATACTCCGCAGCAGAGAAGCAAAGCGCAAGGGCTGTCGTCCAGATTGTTCTGGCATCAGTCCCCCAGTTGGTGTTGGCTAGCTTCTTGAGATGCTGTTGCGGGCTCCAACTTTTGCCTTTGTGTTGGCAATGTGGTTCTTGTAGGTAAGGGAGCGATCGAGTGTGACGCCTAAGTATAGACTGGGTTGGGAGTGTGCTTCAGCCTTTTCCCATACCAGCTGATCCTTAGTTGATGGGTGGCATCCCTGTTCTTGAGGTGGAATGCGCTTATCTGAGTTTTATCAGGGTTAGCTCTCAGGTGGTTGGTCGCATAGTATGGGATGAGACCGGCCAGGGCATCACTGAGGGACTCCTCCAACTTCACAAAAGACTGGTTCTGGGTGGCGATGCAGAGGTCATCGGCGTAGAGGAAGCTCCGGTGTTTTGGTGGATCGGTTGGTCATTCGTGTACACGTTAAAGAGTAACGGTGCGAGCACACTTCCTTGTGGTAGGCCATTTTTCTGTCTGCGCCATCTGCTGCGATTCCCATTGAGAACCACAACATATCGCCGATTGGACAGCAAATTCCAGACTCAAATAAGCATTTTACTGACTTTCTTGGAACCCCAAATTCACTTTCTATATAGTTCACACCAGTTCTTGAAAGTGAAATTATAAACATAATTACCGAATTGAAGAATAAGCGGAGTTCTGGACAAGATGAAATAAGCAATTATCTCCTGAAAAAAATAACCCTTGATATTGTCCAACCTTTAATTAATATTTTCAATTTATCGCTTACAACTGGGGTGGTGCCTCAATCGATGAAATTGCCAAAAGTTGTTCCTGTCTTCAAGAAAGGAGATTCTTTAGAGTTAGGAAACTACAGGCCTATTTCCTTGCTGATATCTTTATCTAAAGTTCTTGAAAAAAATTGTATATGCTCGTACTGTAAAATTCTTTTGTGCTAGTAATATTTTCTATCAGGCACAGTTTGGCTTCCGTGAAAAGCATAGTACAACACATGCCCTTTTGACTCTAATAAATAAGGTGGCTCGCTCTATTGACAATTTCGAACATACGGTGGGGGTTTTCTTGGACTTCTCTAAGGCGTTTGATACGATTAATCACGAAATACTTCTTTACAAACTTTCTAACTACGGAATCAGAGGATTACCCTTAGAGTGGTTCAAGAACTACCTCCACAATAGAAACCAATACGTTCTCATAGACGATGCACATTCTTCTATAAAGACTATTGAATGTGGCGTGCCTCAAGGTTCTATTTTAGGTCCGTTACTTGTTATTGTTTATATAAATGATTTTTACATGTCTTCAATAACCCTGTCTTTTCTTTTGTTTCCTGACGACTCTAACATTTTCTTTTCTCACAAAGACCCGAAATTTTACTGAGAACGGTTAACTCTCAATAACGAGAAGTTGCTGACTGGATCAAGGCAAATAAATTGTCATTGAATTTACTAAAAACCAATTATATGCTTTTTAGTAATATTATTGATAACTTACCAGGAAATATTGTACTTGATAATACTGTCATACAAAAAGTCTCTTCTACGAAGTTCCTGGGAATAATGGTAGATAATAAACTTTCATGGAAGCTGCATGTTGATAATGTTTGTAAAATCATCACTAGAAATATTGGTATTTTGAATAAGGTAAAATTGTTTTTTCCATCTTGTATACTGCTTAATTTATACTCAACTTTAGTACTTCCTTACTTGAATTATGGAATACTTGCGTGGGGCACATGTGGACATACTCAACTACAGGTGTAAATAGAATTTTAATATTGCAAAAAAAAGCAATGCGAATCATTTGTCACACCAATTTTCGCGCTCATACTTATGAACTCTTTCACGCAAATAATGTTTTGAAGAGTCATGACTTATTTTCCTATAACTTGGGTATATTTATGTATACACTAGAAACAAATGAATTGCCACAAGTTCTCTCAAATATGTTTAACAAAAATACTGAATTTCATAGTTACCCCACGAGAATAGCAAAATGTTATCACCTACCAAAGCCAAGAACGCAATTTTCCAGCAGGATTTTCACTTTCACTGGCCCAAAATATTGGAATGCCCTTCCTGGCACATTACAAGAAAAGCCCTCATTAAGAGGTTTCAAAAATGCCCTCAAGCACTTTTTGTTGCAAACGAATCAGAATAAGTAGTTCCCCTCTCCCTCTCTGTCTCTTTCTCTGTCTCCCTTCACCCCCTCTCTCTGTCTTCTTTTTATCTTCCTACATGTCTTCCCCTTTTCTGTTTTTTACTCTCTCATTCTTATATTCTTCATTTATCATCATCATCTTGTCATTCTGCTAATGTTTCTGATTTGTTTTTGTCTCGTAAATTGTTTGTTTTTCTATTGTTTGTCATGTTTTTTTTTTATTCCGTAATTTTTCTTCAAAATTAAGTTATAAATGTATAAAGTATAATTATTATTGTGCGAACCTACATCTAACAAGCTTTGCTTTCAAGTAGGTTCGTTTTTTTCATTTCTTGTAATTAAATCATTTTGCATTACATTGACTAAAAAACAATGTTAAAGATATTTCAATGCTTATTTCTGTTATACCATTACGTTTATTATTGTTTATATTATGTGAAAAAGAAATGGAAAATAAATTCACTCTGTATAGAGCTATTATTATTATTATTATTATTATGTCCTTTGGCAAGACATTGATCTACATTTGCCACACTCAACCCAGGTGATGTAAATGGGTACCTGCAGGAATTAATTCCTTGAAATGCTAGAGCGCTGTATACGGCAGCTAGGCTAAATAAATGCGCCTCGGAATAGAATTTCTAGACAGACGGCGCTATAGAAATGCCTATGCCTATTATTATTGTTATTATAATTATTACCACTGTTATTTCTACGTATATTTTGCAGGTGAAGAGTCGTTATAGTGCGGGCGATGAGGCTGGTGCTGAAGCAGCCTCTCGCGGTGCTAAGAAATGGGCTACCCTCGCCCTCGTCACCGGCCTCATCGTCAACATCCTGGTCATCATCGCCATCCTCGTCTACTATTTCTTATTCATCAAGGCTGTCACCGAAGCCTTCTCGTTCGACGACTGACCGGAAATTAGAGAGAAGTAGGGTGTATTCACCTGCATAAGGCTGCAATGACTGACAAAACCACAGTAGAAGAAAGACTCATAATAGATATTTTCAATTTTCAAGAAAGAATGATTTTATTAACAACGCAGAAGAAAATCGTCTACGATGATAACGCAAATACCGTCGATCATTGCGACTAGAAACATTTATGTCAAATGACTGACAACATCTCAATTAGGCCTGAACAAAAAGAAGATGTTGTATTGCCCTTTATGTACTTAGGTGCCAAAACATAGGTCGGTCGGTCGGAAATCTTTAAAACAGAAATACTTTTTAATCTTTTTTTACTCCCTCCTTGGGCTGATATTTCTCAGTTTTGAATGCTTTAATACATTTTTTTTTTAAATTCATTAAACCCTTTAAAAAACAAAAATGTTTAAAAAGCCGACCGTAGATTTCAAGGTTTTGGGGTTGGTCGCAATGGGCAATACAACATTTTTTTTTAGGCCTTACGTTTTGATGTGTGAAGATGCATGTTCAAGCCAAAAGTAATTAGAAAGGAGACGAGACTATGAGATGTTTAAGTTATGAAAGTAGCTTGACATTCTGTATGGCTACAGCTATGATATCCAAAACACTTTAACAAATAGTACAGGGCCCCGTTGCATAAAACTAATACCATTGATAGTAACTTTGCCATAAATGGCAACTACTACGGTATTACAGGGCTCAACAGCCAATCAAAATCAAGGTTTCCATGGTAGTTACCATTGATGGCAAAGTTACCATCAATGGTAAGTTTTGTCCAACGGGGCCCTGTTATGTTAATTTTATATCACCCAAAGCCCTATAATATTCCTGGAATGAGTTGGAAAAATAAACAGCCTCATTTTTAAAAATGGAGCGGTCGCTTGGCTGATCATACGAAACTTTGTTGGTTCACTCATTTTTTGTGTTTCTTTTTGTCCTGCGAGACGGAGTCCCTTTAATATATTCTTTAAGCATTGGCGAGAGTAATTGATCGTTACACCCTACCTGTATGCTCTATTGTAGAATTGTTGGTAATTGATGATCATTGACAATAAAGCCATGAAATACAACTGAAACATTTGTATTGCTTTCTAGTATTATATAAATTACAGCTCTTACTTTCTCCTTATTTCCCCTTTTTATGCCTCCGTTACGAAGTAGCCGGAGGCATTATGTTTTCGGGTTGTCCGTCCGTCCGTCCGTCTGTACGTACGTACGTACGTCCCGTTCTCGTGATCGCGTTATCTGAAGAACCGATTGATGGATTCCTGCCAAACTTTGGTCATGTATGTATCTTGCAGAGCCGATGAACTGATTAGATTTTGGGGTTACGAGGTCAAAGGTCACAGGGCTCATTATGTATGCAAAAACAGCTCGTGATCGCGTTATCTGAAGAACCGATTGATGGATTCCTGCCAAACTTTGGTCATGTATGTATCTTGCAGAGTCAAAGAACTGATTAGATTTTGGGGTCATGAGGTTAAAGGTCAAAGGTCACAGGGCTCATTATGTATGCAAAAACAGCTCGTGATCGCGTTATCTCAAGAACCGAGTGATGGATTGCTGCCAAACTTAGGTCATGTATGTTACTTGCAGAACCGATGAAGTGATTAGATTTTGGGGTCACGAGGTCAAAGGTCTAAGGCCACAGCACACATTATGTATGCAAAAACAGCTCGTGATTACGTTATCTCAAGAACCGATTGATTGATTGCTGCTAAACTTAGGTCATGTATGTTACTTGCAGAGCAGATGAACTGATTAGATTTTGGGGTTACGAGATCAAAGGTCAAAGGCCACAACGCACATTATGTATGCAAAAACAGCTCGTGATCGCGTTCTCAAGAACCGATTGATGGATTCCTGCCAAAATTAGGTCATGTATGTTACTTGCTGAGCCAATGAACTGAGTAGATTCTGATAAGGTCAAAGGTCATGGGCTCATTATGTATGCAGAAATAGCTTGTGAACACATTCTCATTAGAACTGACAGATGGATTACTATTTAACTCAGGACATCTTGCAGAGCCAATGAACTGAGTAGATTTTAGGGTCATGAGGTCAAAGATCAAAGGGTCATATATGTATATGAGAAATTGCTTGTAATCACGATATTCTGAGAACCTGTTAATGGATTACAATTGAACTTGAATTCTAAAAATGTGTTCTGTTTTGGTTTGTAAAATTGCTCTATGACGGAGGCATCATTTTCGACTGCGCGCAGTCGAATTCCATCTAGTCTTATTTAAAGTTCTATATTTTTCTTTCTTTCTTTTGTATTAATAGGCCTAGGCCTACTACTACTACTACTACTACTACTACCACTACTACTAGTCATACCAGCATTGATGATACTAATAATAACGATATTAATACAAATAATAACAACAACAATAATAATACTACTAATAATAGTAATAATAAAGTTATAATAAGATTACTTCTCCTACTATAACTACTTCTACTGCTACTTTTAATGATAATATTCATGATAATGATGATGATGATGATGACAATAATGATGACAAACATTACGTTGAAGAACTTCGCTACATTTTAGGTGACGGGAATTCAGACAAAATAGATAATAAATCAACATCTTGAAACCAAGGCTGTTTTCCAAAAATAACAAATTCTGACGAATAACCAAGTTAACCCAAAACTGACAACTACAATAAACTTTTAGTTTATGGTAAAATTATCCCGTTTTTCTTATGTACTTGACATTATTTTCTTCCTTTTGAATGTATCATTTTGTATATGCCCATATACCTATACACAGATAAAACGTGACTATACAGGATGCCCCCCCCCCCCCCTCCAAACAAAAGAAGAAGAAATGACTGGCATACTTCTAATTAAATCCGGAACAAATTTCACTTAGGCTTTTTCCATTTGATGGGGAATCTTTTCAGAAGAAAAATTATCCTGAATTCACCGAAATTGGTTGAAAATAATTATATGTGTGTGTGTGTGTGTGTGAGGGTGTGTTTGTGTATGTATATTTTAACTTTTTATATGTTATACATTTTTGTGGACATCCACAGGCAGCGAGTGCTCCTAGCAGAAAAATAACACATCGTTGTCTATTTTCAGAAACGGTGTTTTGTCTGAGTTTTGGGTAAGTTGTAATAATCGCCAGATTGAACCCATAACATAACATTCAATAAACAATAATACAAAACAAAACACATATTTAGGATAAAGTTGTAGAATTCAAAACGATTCAAAACTTCACAAACTTTCTCAATTACTCGCGTACAATTGTTATTTGCATGGCTGGCCGGTCTTTACGTAAAATCGAGCTGACTGCTCTATATAGGGTGACGTCATGATCGATAGCGGCTTATTTGTCATCTGTTTACCTCAAATTCAGAGGGGGCTGAAAATAAAGTCTTTATCTGCTCATTGTTCAATAACGAAATTAAACATAGTTTTATATGTATGTTTTTTGTATTCTACGTCCAATCAGCTTTCCATTGGTGTATATTCTTACTTTCATCGGAGAAGATGTTTAATGAAATAGGGGGTAATAATAATTATGATGAGAGGTGCCCCTTCCTTCGGAGGATGTTTGATCTGAATCTCTTTGTCTTTACATCAGAAATGCATCCATTTGAATACTCAGATTTGTACTTTGACCTGAACTCACCGCGAGGAACATAATTATACGTGTGTACATACTCAACGAGGAAGGGTACCCATATTATTGATTAACTTCTGTGACGTCACATCAAGTCATTTAGACAGACCGTTCCCACTGATAACATAATCGTGACAATGATCGACACACACTAAACAACTAAATTATCCATACACCTTTTCAATGTGTACGTGCGTGTGTGTGTATGCATAAAATGTCGCATTCTCAAGAAACAAAACTCGGGACATATCAATTTTTCACATACTTATCAAAAATTACATGACTTGATAAGGGTATTCACAATTTAGTTCTTAACTTTAAAAAGGTTGTAGTATTTAATAAGACATAAAATACAGGCATAAGATGACAGTTTAAAATCAATGTTTATTGATCATTATCCTGATAAATATGATCATTAAGAAATGGTAACAATAATTCAAATTAAAGTGTGACAAAATATGATTGAGTGCGAATTAATGTCAAAATAATCTAAGCCTACGTACCTCTTCGGAAATATATAATACAGAGATAATAATAAATGACACATCTCGTAATATTTATTCCAATCTTAATTTTCAGCTAGGAAGAGAACAATAAAAGATGCCAATCATTATTTATACAAATAATGATACTCTCTTTTTGTATTCCATATATTAAAACCGTTCGAATTCAATTTTAATTTTTGTTTGCTTTAAGTCAAAACCTGTAGGGTCATTTTCAATAGTCTGTTAATGAATATCAAAGTAAGTATATAAATTGAATTGAAACGGTATAGAAATAGGATGAATATGGGAATATGAATAAAGGAAACAAAAGAGGAAGAAGGAAAAAAGAAAGAGTAGGAGGAGGAAAAGAAAAAAAGAAGAGAAAGAAAAGTAAAATGAATATGAGGAGAATAAGAAGAAAACGAAATCTTCCTACAATGTTGCATGTTTATCTAAAGTATTTACGTATTTAAAGATTTGTGATTTAACACGGAAAAAACAAGCAGCCCACATTGCATTTAGACTTGTGTACACTGTATAGTGCGAACAGAGCGGCCTAACCATTTTAACCCATTGCTAACTGGAACCTGGTGGTCCCTGTGTTAAGTCTATGGTAATTAGATAATTTAGTAGCCAACGGGTAAACATCAAGATTAAGATCACCTTTCCCTGCCAATGGAAACAGGCTCGACGTATAATACTTGTTTACCTCCCTGTTTACCCGCTATTTGTACACACTCTGACATGTAGATGAGCACAACGATACTTAACTAAAACAGTATTCCATTGCGAGAAGAAGAAGACGTTGCCTTCGAAGACCAGATAGAAAGATATATCAATTATACGTTCAGGGATTACAGCATATTTGGGTAAGTATACAACTGCTGGAAAATGTATATTCAGTTATATTGGCTCCTACACTCTGTGTATGAATAAAAGGGGAAACTAATATATTAAATTGATAACGGTGCTGAGAAGCAGTAGCGTCACATTATACGGAAACATTAGCGTTATGCCTCATGCATCGGATTTCTGTTTTGAATACAATATCTATTTGGATTTTAATCTTAACTCTTTCAGTGTCGAGGGTTATTTGCTTGTTTCAAGATTTTACCTAAACACACAGAATGATTAGTTTACAAACACCTGCAGTTTATGTCATTTCGAAATGTTGTTCACACAAGGTGTAGGAATTTATATAGCCCATCTTCATCCAATTTCATGCATGATTTTTTTTTTATAACGGGCTTCCTTCTCGTCCTTTACACTTCAGTCCCATATTGTTGGTTTTACTGTTTGATGTTATTGGCAACTGGACCCCGTTAAACTAAACTTACCATTGATTGTAACTTTGCCATCAATGGTAACTACCATGTAAACCTTGATTTTGATTGGCTGTTGAGCCGTGTTACCATGATGGTAGTTGCCATTGATGGTAAAGTTACCATCAGTGGTAGGCCTAAGTTTTATGCAAGGTGCCCACAGGTCATTTTCAAATTTTGGTTAAAATTGATTGCAAAGCTGGATTAAGTATACTCCAAACATTTATATAATTGACCATGAATATGACACTTTGGTACTGCATATATTTGGTATTGTTAAAGCATGCACTATAATTACGCCCTACTTGGGTAATAATAGTAGGGCCCTCTGTAAAAAGTTTAGAACAGCATTGAAGCTGATGAGGCTAACCGGGGTAAACAAGATTATTTTTATCATTATTATCATCAATATTATTATTGAAGGCCCTGTATTAGCAAAGGTGATAATCACGAATATGACATTATTATTTTTATTGAAAAACTATTGTATAATTCGTCAGGTAAAATCAAACTCTTCAATGGCCGCTGCGGTGGATCAGTCCCAATATGACAAATCAGCGCAGCCTCCTTCCTATCAACAAGCTCCACCCCCGAATCTCGCCCCGCCTACTAACCCACCACAGTACCAGACAGTGCATCCAAGCACCGCCCCTTATGCAGGACAATCAACGCATCAGCAGGCGTGGCAAGCACCTATCCCCGCCCCTCAACCGATCTATAATGCACAGTATATCGTACAACAGCCTGGCACGTACGTCTATCAGACACAGTCGCAAACACTGCAAGTAAGAATCATAGCTAGGGCCCTGTCATACACACAGTATCGATTGATTTGAGGACTTTATTAGTACACACGTTTATTTATTTATTTTTTTTTTAATTAAAAAGAATTTGCTTTCTTGTCCAGTAGGCCAATACTGTATCTGTATATTTTATCTGTATAGATGGTGTTTTTTGTTTTAGTTCTTATTATTAATTTGCTTAGCTAAATAATATAATGCGTAAGACAATGTTTGTTCTTCGCTTTTTTTTATAGTCAGGGGGGTCTACATTATTTTTTTTAGAATCTATGAGCTTCTCAGTAAACCCCTCCTCATTTTTCTATTACTTTTTAATTCTAGTTCTCATTCTGTTCATTATTTTAATTATGTTTTTTTCTCTCAAATCAACGTAAATATTGGTCATGCACTTATGGATTATGAATAAATAAATGAATTTAAACAAACTAATACGATAACCTAGCTACTACACACGATTTGGTAGTGTGTCTGTATGCAATACTTGATTGGTAAATAATTGATGTATGAACATGCATATATCATACGAATGCTACTGTTGACCCAAGTGTAGTATTTAGCCTTATATTTAAGGAAGAAATCCTGACTTATGTACACGTCTAACCATGCCAGGGCCCTGTTTCATAAAACTTGCATATTGCTCCCGTTGTCTCGTTTTAGCTCGCTGGAACATTGCCAGCACAAACCACTGACCTCTACCTCCTTGACGGATCATCGCCCATTCCCATTCACTATACGTTACGTACTAAAAGGATGTATTGTCTGACCGTTCATGAATATTCATGTTTTTGCTTACCTCGGCAAAATGTTTGCTTTTACTAAATGGAAAAATGACGGTGGGGGGTTGGATGAAATGGACAAATGAACCAAGCAGAAGTGATCTATGATAAATGATGCTTCTTATCCTTCGTGTGCTTGACTTATAATCTTAAAATCGCTTGGCAAACTGAGTCCAAAGTTCGACTTGTTTCACATGTGTATTATAGGCAATGACAAGCTTCCAACCTATTTTGATCAAAATTACGGTGGGTGAACTTTCAAAAGTCAATGGGACATGAGGGTTCCAATGAAAGAGCTAGTAATAACGTACGTCGGGGTGGATGTGCTTTTCGTTTAAACAAAAAATGAATTTTTAACTATTTGGGGGGGGGGGGGGTAAAATTCCATACTAGGCTAACATGTTAGGCTGCTGACTCTGACGATAGGGGGCGTTGTAACATGAGACTAAACGGAGCTATATGTTATCAGTAACAAGATATGACAATTGTTATAAGCTACTGATATCCCTGCATTTGATTGGCGGAGATCATATCTGTTATATAATTTCGGCAATTGTTATTAATAATAATTTTTATGAAACAGGGCCCAGTTGGGCTACGACCATTTCTAGTAACACGCATTTTCTTCATTTATGCAAATTCTCATTCTAGACCGCTAATCAGCGGAACGTCACATTTATTCAGGCCGATACTACACCGCAAGATTACTTCACCTTCAGCCTCTTCGTTATGCTCTGCTGCTGTCTACCGCTCGGTATCTTCGCAATCGTTAAGTCCGGAGATGTAAGTATACAGGGCGGGTCTAGGGGAGGGGGCCGGGTTGGCGGTTTAACCCCCCCCCCCCCCCTTTGGGCGGCCAAGTGAAGAAAAAGAAGGGGAAAGGAGGGAAGAAAAAAAAAGGAGAACAAAAAGTAGAACAGTATATATAAAACGGCGCGATTTTTGGAAAATCGTGGATCCGCCACTGAGCCACTCCCCCCCCCCCCCTTGGCAAAAAGCTAGATCCGCCCATGGTATCTATTTTGAATACAGTAACAACTAAATCACTAATTACTCACTCCCCCTGCAAAATTTGACGTTTTTCGTAAATCGAGAACAAAAATTGGACTGGTTGAATTCGGGCCTTTAATTTGTTAAATAAGTTTACCTGTGAGCCATGTCACATTCTCAAGGAACATAAATCAGAACAATTTATCACATACACTGTACATTACAAAATGCAAAACTTGGTTAGGATATTATTTTTGTATGCATAGTTTGTTCTTGATAATGCGTTAGCTTGCCCGAGGCTCGCCCAACATAGCACAAAGTAACGTATGCAGATTTCATCGATTGCAAGGATTGTAGTTCATGATACCTCGTCCCCAGGAAAGAAACATCATTCCGTAAATTTCGTGCAGAGAGGTAAAGAAAGCAAACAGAGTGTAAAAATAACCATATGAAGGAAAAAAAAAGAAATCCTAGCCGAAAAGTGAACTTGAAATCTTGTTTGTCCTATCCTATCCTACCTTCATCTACAGGTGAAAACCAGAGCTGCAATGGGCGACCTGTCCGGTGCACGACTCGCTTCCACAGAGGCCAAAAGATATGCTTGGATCGGATGTATCATTGGTATCATAATGTGGGCGATCGGCATAATATGTTTGTCGATCTGGATAGCATATATTGTCGACGAATGCGACGATGGTTATTGTTAAAGGAAAACCCAACGTTATTAAAAAAATACAAATAAAAGCAGATTGATGAAAATTTGATTGAAACTAAAGAAAGTTACACTGCTTTTGAAAGTTTTAGGCATTATCGTATGGGCACTTAAGATTGTCTGAATCGGTAATGTCACTATGATGTAGTGCTTGACAACACACAATGAAGATGTCGAGTTTGAAAAGTGTATGATGGGTATTAAGGGTCTTTCATGTTGAGAGGAAATATATTAAATATATTTGAGTAGCCGAATTGTAGAAATAATAAATTCACAAGAAAATGGTTTCAAATCAGGAATTTGTTTACATAAAATGATTTTTTTTTTTGCATTTGTTTTCTTTCCATGAATATCAGAGATGAATTATTAAAGAATTGTTAGTTTTCTGTTAACTCAAAAGCTCATCAATACTTGTATCTTGAAAAGCCAATTTTATTTATGTTATAAATGTTAATTACCTTGAATATGTATTTGTTAATTTGTTGCAAATGAAAATCAATAAAATAAAAATAGGGGAAAAATATATTTGAGTAGTCCCTCAGACCCTCACAAAAGAAAGGACACAGATATATTCATCTGGACAGTTGTCCATGACTATGTCACAATCTACTGACCAAAGTGCCATTTAAGTTTCGCACAGATTTAGTGATCTCTATACAAGCATTCATAACTCTCTTAAAATTGGTCCGACATATTGTAAACGTTCGCCGTTTTGTTTATCTTATATTTTTGCTTCCATCCAAATAAAATTAATACAAGGGTGGGATTGACCTTTAAAGTTAAAGCTCAGTTCTGATCATGGGTTGCATTGCAAAACAAACCACGTGGAAGCAATTGTAAAGTTGATCATGTAGTAAACAAGTTTTATTTTTGACTTTAATAGGCCTGTGAGGTTTGGGAATCATCAATATGATAATAAGTTTGCCCAGTCTTGCTAAAGTAATTTGTATTATACACAGAAAGGATCATGATTTTTTTTTCTTGTGTGAAATCTAATCTGATACGCCTGTATAAAAAAGAGAAGAATTTAAAGTGTTTTTTTAATGTAAAATGTGGAATAAATAAACTTCAAACTTCATATTGAACATTTGTGTTGTTGATATAATCCCTTTTAAAGAAAACACAACAGTTGCTAAATGTTTAAACAAAATAATAAGTGAAAAATCAGTGGCAAGGGAAAGTAGTAGATTAAACATGATGGATCTACTCGAAAACCCTATCAGTAGAACTAGTCCCTTTTTGGAATGAAAGTCCTCATATTTTATGAAGAAATTATAGTCGAGGTGTCATAGTTGAGTGGTTTAAGTACTTGACTTGAAATGCTTTTCGTTGGTTCGATCCTCGACATAGCTCTAATGTCATTTGACGAGCCATCAGTCTACATTTGCCACTCCATACCCAGGAGGGAAAATTGGGACCTGGTAGGACGACAAAAGCATTATGTGTAATGTCCATATACCCTCATGATGGCCATGTGGTGGGAATACTCCCCAGGGAGTGGATATAGTGAATTAATCGAATGACTTGGGTCTAAAGACAAGGTTGGCTATTACGTTTTCCAAAATGAAGAACGACACAAGGTCAATTTTCATTGTCTTTTGTGGGCAGTGAATTTTGGAATAGATTACCTATTGATGTCAGATTCACAAGGTCTAGAAATATGTTCGGAATTCTGTTACAAGTCTTTTGCTGATCAAGTCATGCATGAAATATCAAGTTAAATAATTTGCATATGTACATAATTTATATTTTACATTATCAGTTTGTATATTTTAAGACATGGTTGAGTATTCTTGTTTTTTAGGCATCGATTGTAGTAGTAAATTCATTATTTTTTTTGTTTTGTTACGTTTTCTAAACTGATTTTTACCAAAATATTGGGGTTAGGCTCTACTAGCACATGTGCTATTATCTGGACCCTTTTAACCAACCAATAATTTCTCTTATTTTATATGTAAGATCATGGTATAAAATGTTTTGCTGTTGGAAAAATAAATCAATTTAAATCAAATCAAATAATATATGTGAAGCGCTTAAAGACGGCACTTTGTATTAAACGCTATATAAATCTTGATTATTATTTATCATATTGAGATAGAACAGCATTTGTATGCGTAAAGGTTTCCTGGTTGAAAACAGGGCTTCTCGAATTCCAGATCTCAGGGCATACCAATCCGGACCGCCCTGGACAGAGTCTCCAATTTAATTATTCTAAGTAAGATACGGAATTTTTTAAGAGCCAAGAAATTGTAACGGAAATTATACAAAAATCAAGTAAAAATCAAAAGGCATGTAATTAATGCTAAAAGTGATAATTTTTCACTCATTTACCGTTTGTTTAGCTCTCGAAACAGAGGCGGATCTTGCAAAAAAGGAACGAATGAAGAACAGTCTCCGTTTTATGGTGATGATGGTGATGATGACGATGGTGATGATGGTGATGATGGTGATGATGATGATAATGGTGGTGATAATGGTGATGATGGTGATGATGATGATGATGGTGATGATGATGATAATGGTGGTGATAGCGGTGGTGATGATGATGATAAAAGTGATGATGATGATGATGGTAGTTGTGATGATGACGATGATGATGGTGGTTGAGATGATGATGATGATGATGGTGATTGTGATGAAGATGATGATGATGATGGTGATGGTGGTTGAGATGATGATGATGATGATGGTGGTGGTTGTGATGATGATAAAGGTGATGATGATGATGATGATGGTTGTGATGATGATGATGGTTATGATGATCATAAAGGTGATGATGGTGGTGGTAGTTGTGATGATGATGATGGTAGTTGTGATGATGACGATGATGGTAGTTGTGATGATGACGATGATGATGGTGGTTGAGATAATGATGATGATGATGATGATGGTGGTTGTGATGATGATGATGATGATGGTGATGGTGGTTGAGATGATGATGATGATGATGATGATGGTGGTTGTGATGATAATAAAGGTGATGATGATGATGGTGATGATCATAATGGTGATGATGGTGGTGGTAGTTGTGATGATGACGATGATGATGGTGGTTGAGATGATGATGATGATGGTGGTTGAGATGATGATGATGATGATGGTGGTGGTTGAGATGATGATGTTGATGATACGGATGATGATGGTGGTGGTGGTCGTTGTGATGATGACGATGATGATGGTGGTTGAGATGATGATGATGATGGTGGTTGAGATGATGATGATGATGATGATGGTGGTGGTAGTTGTGATGATGATGATGATGATGATACGGATGATGATGGTGGTGATGATGGTGGTTGAGATGATGATGATGGTGGTGGTAGTTGTGATGATGACGATGATGATGGTAGTTGTGATGATGACTATGATGATGATGGTGGTTGAGATGATTATGATGATGATGATGGTGGTTGTGATGATGATGGTGATGGTGGTTGAGATGATGATGATGACGGTGGTGGTTGTGATGATAATAAAGTTGATGATGATGATGGTTGTGATGATGATGGTGATGATGATCATAAAGGTGATGATGGTGGTGGTAGTTGTGATGATGACGATGATGATGGTGGTTGAGATGATGATGATGATGATGATGATGATGATGATTGGGGTTGAGATGATGATGATGATGATGATGGTGGTTTAGATGATGATGATGATGATATGGTGGTGGTTGTGATGATGATGATGATAAAAGTGATGATGATGATGGTAGTGGTAGCTGTGATGATGACGATGATGATGGTGGTTGTGATGATGATGATGATGGTGGTAATGACGATGGTGATGACTGATGATGATGTCAATGATAGAGTAGAAGCCAAACATTAAAACAAGGCTCTAGAAAACGATTCCACGCGATTCTGGGATGAGCGCATGGCATCCATGGTAAAACTTTTGCAACAAAAATAAAGGTATGAGATAGGGGTGGATGCCACGCGCATCTTTTGTTAAATTTGAGCTCGAAATCTATAAGAAAGTTCCACCCCCCCCCCCAAAAAAAAAAAAAAAAAAAATAAATAAATAAATAAATATATATATATATATATATATAATACCAAATATGTGTCATCTGATAAAGACATTTCCAACGATGGAATTTTCTTTATAAGTTTAAAGTAATGAAATTGTTTAATATACAGTTTGATATTACACACAAATAGAGTAATAACAAGATTTCGCTTTACTGGCATTTTAATAAGCAACTGTGGAATCATTGTGCATGTCAATTAATGCATGTCAATTAATGTCAATTAATGCAAAATCAAGAAAATAATGAAACATTGAAAATAAACAAAATAATGAAATATGTTTTTTTTTTAACTGAGAAAACGCAGTGTTTTAGCCGGGCCAACACTGCATATGGAGAGCAATCTTATATACTTGTATACATTCAACACATTACAGAATGGAAATATTTTCATATTCTGACAGTTTATTGACCTTTGAGTAGTATTTGTTCGGTATCATCCGAAAGACGCCATAAAGCTGTTTATACTGAAGCTGTGTCTTGGGCAGCATATGATTAAAGGCACTTAAAGGCACATACTGTCCTACTTGTAGCCACTTGCTCCCGCTATATAGAAAAATTCCCCAATCGGTGCCTGTTGGTCCCCCATGATCCTCTTTTTCTTATGTTAAATGAGAGCTGAGCCACCTGTCACAGTGACCTCGTTGGCTCGATGGGTGGTCTAATTCCTTCTTGCTGAAGAAGTAATGCCTGCCTTTAATGTCAATGTAGCGTTACATGATGCTTTAAAGTTGTTTAGTGACGTATCAATGTGATTTGAATGTACTAGCATATATAATTTTTTTTTGGCACATTCTGTTATACGATGTCTGGTTAAATAGAAATATATATTATGACTACATGGATTATTATACGTCACACTACTAAGCTATATGACGCTTGGATTGAATCTGCTCAGAAGCCAGGATAGAAGAATAACGTCGCCACTTAGGCATTCCATATATCACATTATATCATCATTATTACTAATATGGAAACGAGTAATATTTATGGTTATAATAACTATCGGTCAAATTGGATCTGGCCTCAGTTCATTCTATTCATGAAATTTCGTGCCTTATTCTCGTATGGCGACCTGTTTTTCTCCTGATTGGAGATGACTGCTTTAATATATAATGCTGGAAATAATGGTGACGAGACACATCATCCACATACTGGCACACAATGACGCAGAGGAACCTGTAAAAAATAAAAATAAAAGGAAAATCAAACAGAAATAAATAAATCAAATCAAACGCAAGGGGAAAACGTAAGAATAATTAGTAAACTATATGCAATATTATGTTTAGACCCCAGCAATAACCCCAAGTGTGATCCAATTCGATGGAATACTGCCAGACAGAAACATTGGCAATTTTTAGTAATCTAAATTCTTTCTTTTTTGTTTTCTTTTGTTTGGTCTATTGTAGGTGTGATATTTGTTTCGTTACCAAAACAAAGAAAAAGGGAAACAAAACTATCAGTATAATTTTTGTGTTAATTATGATTCAATTGCTTTGCAAAGCACATTTTTAATTTCAATTCTTTGTTATGACAATAATAATGTTTTTGTGGTTATGTAAATTTGATTTGTAGTATTGTATCTTTGAATGTAACCATGTATATATAATCAATAAATCCTCTGATGAGGCAAAGAAAACAAATTGTCTCGTTACTGTCACTGTGGTAGATGTATAAACTTGGAACAGAATTGACAGTAATCATAAAATTGTCTAAATGTTACTATGCTAAGTTTGTCATGATAGTGTGTAGAAAAACTATAATGATTAAATGAGCCCCATGGCACAATATTGTACATCCGTTGGCCTATCAACTACATGTCTTTCAATCTTTCTTGCCTTGCTTCATTGATGGCTCGAATGATTTGTACGACCGCTTTGGAATGCTGTTCAGTTTATCCTCCTTATTGAAAAATCCTGTACCCACGCACACGCAAGCACACGCACGTGTTGTTGTTGTTGTTTTTATTTCCGAAATCAGATAAAAATATTATACATAGTAAAATATTCAAAATGAAATATTTATACATACTGGACTGTACATGGACAAAAATCGGTGGAAAGCCCAATTCAGCAGTGTTTATAGAACACTACTGTGAACGCATACAACAAGAATAACAAGAAAAAAACACAAAAAAAAACAACAGAAATACAAAGTGAAAACAATATAGGCGTACCTGTTGTCGATTCCCATCCGATCACATCTCCATTCCCTTCATTCGTTTTTTCAAGCCATTCCATTAGAGGCTGAAAGTATTTCAAGATGGCGTCGGCTTTCATCTCTCTTTGACCGGTGAGGGCCTCCATCGCTTCTGGCCAGGGTTTGCTCCTCCCCATAGATAACATTGCTCTGTTTTAAAGGACAAAATTAATCTATCAGTTATTTAATATAACAAGGATAATTATGTCCTAGATCATTTTCAAAGAAATGTATAAAATATCAACGATACTTTACCAGATGATTGCATCAAACAGTTAGCTTACCTAGCAAGATCGAATACCAAGTTTAATTACTTGTATTAAAAGTGATATTCTATATGTATTTTTTACCCGTTAAGTATGAAGCGTATTCTTGAATTGGCCTCAAAATTTATTCAGAATGTAACCATTCTTAAGAAATTACGTAAGTAATTTAAAGGTAAAGACCAGTATTGGATACGCCCCAATTTCAAAAAATGAAATGGAAGCTCTTATTACCAGGGTAATTATACTGCATTATTGTAGAGCGCTTAGAGACTTCTGATAAAGTAAGTGTTAGGCGCTATATAAGCAAGGACAATTATTATTATTATTATTAATGGATATATTTAGTAAATTAGTTTATCTATTGGACTGTGAGAGATAAACGCAGGTGTCGCGCACGTGTGCGTAGTCGCATATACATCTTTCTGTGTACAGTGCTTGTAACTTTACGAAGACTGGGTCAAATTTCTTATCATTTTGATGATTACAGAACCTTGCAGTACTATGCTAGATGATCAACCTTTCTGATCGCTTCCACAACGTTTCTTTCACAATGCAATCGCATGACCATAACTGGTCTTTATCTTTAACAGTTATTTTCTCACATAGATGGTTTTGGTGACCTTGAGGGTTGCCATGTAAAATGCTGAATAAAATCAGATCAATACTCCGAATTCATCGAGAAACACTTGGTGAATATAGTGCCCTCATCGTCTGTGCGTAGAGATGTGTACACAAGACAAGTGAGGGAGGGGGTCTTACACATTCAACCTACTATTGATATGAGTTTGTTTTTGTTTTTAAATAATACGTGGATATATTCATTTCACATTTTGCCATTTAGAAAGTATCTCTACATGATTAATCCTTCATGAATGTTAGAATGTAATAGACCAACTAACAGTTTAAAGAGATACTATGTCCCTTTGCAGCCAACATCAAATTGTGTAGAACTTTGCAGGAATTATGAATATGTCATGCATGTCTTATCTGTGAAATTTAAACATTAGCAATGTCCTAGAAGTCAAATTATGCAAGGAAACCCGTTTACCATCTGGACTTCACTGCCAAAAACTATTGAGTGACTGACTGCCATTTTTTTGGTGGTAATATACATAAATGAGCTGTAACAGGTACATTAACATTTGTCTACTTCAATAATCCACTTCTTGTGATGGCCAAAATTAAACTGATTGAATCTTTGTGCAGCACAAAAACATGCGACCCTTTAGTATTAAAGGGTCATACTACTACTTTGGTGATTGCAATCACTTAACTCGATTTGACAACTATTAGTCGTCATTTTCCCACTGTAAGCATTTTCAAGCCTTCACTATGAACATGACGGACAAAGAAAGAGGAAAAATATACAGTTCCTCATTCTACCTCAACAATTGTTGTGGTAGACAAAGGAACATCCCTTCACTGCTATTATGTAAAAATGTGTAGAACAGGTGTCACATGCATATTCACCTTTTTACATAATAGCAGTGAAGGGATGCTCCTTTGTCTACTTGAGTCACTGTATATTGTGTCCGCTTTCTTTGTCAGTCATGTTCATAGTGCCTTTCGCTTTAAGTGTAGTTTTGAATTAGTATTGTCATTCAAATGCCGTTGGAATTTACCTTTCCATTTGTTTGGCCTGCAAATGGGACATTGTACCTTTAATTTAATGTCGAAGCATGTCTGCATACCCCTATTTTCTCTTGAATGTAAAACGGTTATTGAACAATGATTCAAATTTCTCACAAATCGCACCAGGATAATCTATTCCTCCAAATCCGACTCATCAATGCTCACCATTGTAATCACCATCATAACTATTGTCTCTACAATAACCGCATTATCTAAGATATGAAAAGCGAGATGTTTGTCCTTACGCCAATTTCTCGCCTGCTTCTGTTGACCGGTAGAAATCACATTTATGGAGCGGTCCTGTATGGTTGGCAGCCTGGCACAGAGACTGGTAAAACTGGAACTGTATGATGGTCCGAATATAGTATCTGACAGAAATAGAGGTCGGTAATGATAAAATGTAATTCAATTAAATACAAAAAAAATCGTGTCATGGTATAGCACCATTTGATTGTTGAAATTACAAAGCGCTGCACATATTGTTTTACATGTTTGAGCCCCTTTATCAACATCACTTAAATCAGACCAGTTGAGCCAATCAAATCTATTGTTCTCTAACAAAATAAATGGGACTTAGAAAATGTTCGTGAAACGGTCAACAAACAGATTAAACTTTTCAACTTTTGTTAATGAAATATATATGTACCTAGTTCGTTTATTACTTTGTATTATATTGAGAAAAAAAAACACAGAAAAAACAGAAGAAATAAAGAAGATTCAGAAAATGAAATTCATTGTGAAAAAGCAATCTCAAAATGAAATGCTGCGGTACCCTACCAAGCAATCACTCAAAGTTGTCAAGACATTCGCAAAACCTCGCAAGGACGTTAAAACGTGTGAACAATACTCACGTCTCTATAGAACCTCTAGTGTTCCCTTGGTATAAGGCCTAAATGGGCACAATTGCGCTGCTATAATGAAAATGCTCACCCTATGAATGGATACGTTACGATGATATGGTACATGGCGCCTGCCTCGAAATCTTCTTCTGTTCTTTCCACGGGAGCTTTGACACCAATCAGGTCATTCCTGTCATCAGAAGGAGAAAGAGCAGCAGGAAGATGAGAAGAATTGGAAGGAAGAGCAAAGCAAAGGAAAGGGAAAATGAGTAGAAGAAGAAAACGGAAAAGAAAAAGAAGAAGGGGACCTCATTCTGAATATTTTTAGGATTGGAAAGATGAGCAAAACAAAGGAAGGGAAAGATGAGTGGAAGAAGAAAAAGAAGAAGAAGAAGGGGATCTTATTCTGAATATTTGTGTAATTTTAGTGTTAAGGTTTGTAGTATCTTCTGTTGATAATAGACAGCTGATATTGTTGTAAGTTGGTTTTCTGAAAATTGGATTAATGGTCCATTTTGTATATCTGGATGGACCACGATCTTTGACAACCTACTTTTCGGGACCTTACCAAACACGATTGATTTTATATAAATAAACCAAGCAGTAGGATCACCATGAAGCTAAAGCTAGACAAAACTCTCAGTAAGAACCAAAACAAGAACACAACAAATTTCATTTATATCATGTAAAGTGATCTCTATCTAAATTATAGGGCCCATGATCATGACATCGAAATACAAGTGCATTCCTGTTGCTGTGCAGTTCTGCATACATCTCATATGTTGATATGTAAACTTCTGAATTTGTTTCATAGATTTTAAAATATTTTTTGAAATATTTGTTTTCAAAATTGCTAATTAAGCTCCACCCAAAAACCTCCAGATCTTATTCCCCTTGTGGCATCATCTGTCAGTCATCAATGAGCTAACTTGAGAAAGTGGCATTTAACTTTGCCAAAGTTGACCACCTGTTACAATACCACAAAAAATAGCAACATTTTAAAGTTGTTATGTCAGACATGATGTAGCATCACCAGGAAGACAAAGACAAATCGCGTTTGTATTTGAATGTGTACACACTTGAGTTGCCACCATCTGGCAGTACCAGCATTCACATCTGTTTTCCCACTGAATACATCCCATCTCCATTGCTCTAGGGCTAAGCTGAAGGGAAGGGTTCCGATGGTCGGTAAAGCCATCTTCAGCAAAAAGTTGATATCCGTATCCATTACTACACAAAAAGAGATAGAGACACACGATGAGTACCTGTATATTTTACTTTTGCATCGTTTGTTTGTTTGTATATTAGTTTACTTTTCCTTGTCACAGATTGAATTATATCTTGTCTCTGTCAGAATTTAAAAGTTAATGATTACTGCCTCTGAAAATGTGGCAAATTTCTTTGGGCGTCTGAAATTGTGAATAATTTAGGAAGAAAACAAAAACATCTGCCATTTTCCACCCAGGTGAAGTAAATGAATACCCGGTATTAAAGAAGAAACTTTCTGAATACTTTGGCACCCCATTATAGAAGCTCGGCTATTAAAGCCGGTGTAACGTTTTGATTGCAAGGCCCCAGAAAGAACGTGTTTAATACAACTGAGGATATCCTCTGAATAAACGACATGACATGATGATGATGATGATGATGATATGGTGATGATGATGATGACTATCATCAGCATCATCATCATCGTTATACTATTGTAATTATAACTATTACTATCATTGTTATTAATATCATGTTTATTATTATAGTAGTAGTAATAGAAGTAGTACTAAAAATAGTAGTAGTAGTAGTAGTAGTAGTAGTAGTAGTAGTAGTAATAGTAGTAGTAGTAGTAGTAGTAGTAGTAGTAGTAGTAGCCGTAGCAGTAGCAGTAGCAGCAGCAGCAGCAGTAGTAGTAGTAGTAGTAGTAGTAGTAGTAGTAGTAGTAGTAGTAATAGTAGTAGTAGTAGTAGTAGTAGTAGTAGTAGCCGTAGCAGTAGCAGTAGCAGCAGCAGCAGTAGTAGTAGTAGTAGTAGTAGTAGTAGTAGTAGTAATAGTAGTAGTAGTAGTAGTAGTAGTAGTAGTAGTAACAGCAGTAGTCGTAGTAGTAATAGTAGTAGTAGTAATAGTAGTAGTAGTAGTAGTAGTAGTAGTAGTAGTAGTAGTAGTAGTAGTACTAGAAGTTGTAGTAGTAGTAGTAGTATTTAGAAGCAGCAGTAATAATAATAACAGTATGTTTTATTGTTATAGTAATAATATCATTAGGTTAGTTATACTCGCCTTCTATTGGGTCATCCTCGCCATCAAACAAGCCGACCTCTTTTAAATGTTTGGGCGTGGCTACTGACTGCGACATCACCTCCCCTATGGCTTCTTGGAAAGCGATGTTAGCCCCATCCCTGAAGGACACTGGCTGGTGTTTGTAATTCATGTCGTATTGGATGTGACCTAACTCGTGATGAAGGATCAGGAAGTATTCCATATTGACTTCGGTGCACATCTTTATCCTGCAACAGATCGGCAAGAAAAGTAAAATATTGGTAAAACAAATCACAATGATCAACAAGAAACATCAGTAAACATATTACTATACAATAGTTGATAAGAAGGAAAAGGCAAGCTTGTTTTCATCTTTATCCTGTAGCATATCAAATCAACAAGAAAATTAGATGTTATGTCAATAAAGTCAGGATCATGGACCAGTATCAACTCTACACTCTCGCCAATTCGCCATTGAAAGTGTTTTGTCGCCATAGGCTCAGTGCCACCGACCCATACGTATATTTCTCAACTGTTTTCCCCCAGTCTTGTTTTGGCAATATAACGAAATTGCCTCAACTCATTCACAACCATTAATACATGGTACATGTTATTGTGCTGAATTTTCCGCAAACTTGTCGGCAATGTGGTTCGTCACCTCACCCCCCCCCCCCCCAACATAAAAGTCGAACAGATCCCTTGGGTGAGACTGAAGAACTGACCTAAAGTCTACTCTGTTGTAGAAGTCCCATGCAGACGCGTGACACACCACATCTCTCCCGTCATCAGGCCTCTCCAACATGGAATTCTCCCAGAATGCATCATTGACCGGAAATAGACCCATGGAGCTGAAGAATTCATCTGCCATACGAGCTATCCTATCGACGGTGTAATTCTGGAAAATATAATGAGATTGTAAAAAAGTCTGCATATGGATGTTTTGTGTTATATTAGCCTATACTTCTTCTGGAGACTGCCGATTTCCAATAGTACTATTCGTGGACAGTTCTCTACTCTCAGGCAACTGTCAACATTGAACATTTATCACGTGGGGGCTTTACTTCGTTCCGTCGGGTCAGGTTGTCGGGCGATGCGAACTTTAGTAAAAACATGACCCCTATTCACGATAGGTTGGCCCAAACAGGCTCGCTTGAAATCCGTTGGCCCACGCCTATGGAATAAACCCCTTGCATTTCTAAAAAAAACTACTTCACTTCACTCAAAAAAATCTGAAAACATCCCAGTTTCCTTCAATTCTTCTTAATTTGCTGATTGACTAAGAGACAGAGCCTTGCATTCTCTAGAAAAGGTAAATATAAAGCTAACTTTTAGGTTGTATTATAAGATGATGACGTGGATCCCAATTTAAATGATTGGTTAAGAGCGTACACGTAACCAGGCATTTGTTTTGCCTACACGTAATTTTGATGATGACCAGTCGTTATCAAATGCTAATGACCGGTCATTAGTAAAATTATGTTATAAAACATCATGATATAAAACAATTAATAAAACATAATCTTATAAAATAAATAATACACATAATTTTGTTCGGTACCTTCAATACAGTCCAAACACCCTCGGCTATCACCTCGGGCGTGTCAGATTGTTCCAAAGGTACCTTGTGTGTGTATTTTATTTTTTTTTAATTTTTTTTTTTTACTAATGCCATTATTTTTATACAGTATCACTCTCACATGGCGCGTCAGAAACCACACCAGTCACTTGCGCAGTCCTCCGTCAGCAAAATAACGCCTCGTGTGCAACGCGCTTTACTCACCTGTCGGACCATTTCATCAGAGACGTCAATATTGGGTAGGTCAGGGTATGGAACCACATGGGGATAGATGTTCGTCCAGAAACGACCCCACATGTCACCTGTAATTGGTATGATATCACACAATGTTATATGAAGCAATGTTCGTATGAAAAACGGGCGGTCAAGAGTGAAATGTAGAATCTCTGTAAATATAAGCTGAAGACGAGAAGTATAACATCTTCGTCGTTTTATTTGAATAACATGAATCAAGGCCGCAAAGACTACAATTCAACTCAAAGACTATTACAATTACTACTCTGCTGTATATCCCATAGAGGGTTATAGGACACCTACCCCCCGGACATCCATCCCCCCCATATTACCACCCCAGTCAACTACCCCCAGGACAACTACCCCGTAGGATAACTACCCCCTAGGGCAACTACCTAGGACAACTACCCCGGACAACTCCCCCGGACAACTAACCCCTAGGAAAACTACCCCCGGACAAATACCCCCAGCAACTATCCCCCAGACAACTACCCCCTACGACAACCATCCTGTAGGACAACTACCCCCTGGACAACTACCCCAGAGGGAAGTTGTCTGGGGGGTATTTTTCCGAGGGTAGTTGTCCTAAGGGGGTAGTTGTCCGGGGGAGTTGTCCTAGATGTTAGTTGCCCTAAGGGATATCATTGGGAGTGGTTATCCGGGGGTGAATGTCCAGTGTCCTAGAACCCTCTATGGGATACGTCCATAGAGATCACTTTCGGATTACAGTACGTAATTGTCATAAATATTGTCATGTTCGCACATTTTCAATGGTGAAGTCATCACAACCATCATCATCACTATCATCACTATCGTCATTGTGATCATGTTTGTCATCTACATCAACATTTTCATCGTTTTATTTATCAACAGGGCGTTACCATAATATTTATTAATAATATTTTTGCTTATATGGCGCTTAATACAACGGCAATTTCGAAGTTTCTAAGCGCTTTATGTTATTACCCCGGTCATCGGATTCTGGCTTGCCCACACACAGTGTATGCACGTTCTCCACTCCCTGGGTAACATTCCAGCAAGAGCTACTATGCTCAAATTGCTAAGCATACTGCATACTTGTGGAGAGTGTCAAATTTAGATCAACATATTGCCAAAGGACATTAGTGCCACGACGGGACTCGAACCGCGGACCTTGTAATCGACAGTCCGGCGACGTATCCACTCGACCACAACACTTCTATGGTAACTCACCTAGAACATTAGCTGGTAGATTGCCGGTGAGGGGAACATGTTCTGATCCGTAGACCCCGTTTAGCCTGCGTCTGACATAGGCATGGAGCTGCTTGTAGAGAGGAAGAATAGCATTGTAGAGTTCGTACACCTGATTTTCAAGGTCATCACTGTAGGCAGACCTCCAGGAGTCCCCAAGATCATCATACCCTGTAAGAAAAACATTTCAGTCTCGGAAACACGCTCACATCGTACCACGCACACTACCATGCTCGCTCCAAGGCACCCACCCCCTTGGGATGCTTTGGTGTGACACTCTGTCCTGGGACCCGTCTTACAAAGAGTTGATATCAATCGCAACTTTTTTTAGATTGATACCAATTGCAAATATGTACATAAAATGTTTGCTTATCTCTTAGCAGGGTTCTAGGGCACCTACCCCCTGGACATCCAACCCCCCGGAAACCACCCCAAGTCAACTACTACTTAGGACAACTACCCCAGGACAACTACCCCCTAGGGCAACCACCCTCTCGGTCGGCTACTCCCTAGGACAACTACCCCCAGACATCTACCCCCGGATAACTTCTCCTTTATAGACAACTACCCCCTACCACAACAATCATCCAGGACAGCTAGCCCCGGACAACTATCCTAGGGGCAGTTGTCCGGGGATAGTTTCCGGGGGTAATTGTCCTAGGGGTAGTTGTCAGGGGGTAATTGTCCGGGGGTAGTTGTCCTAGGGGGTAGTTGTCTGGGGTTACTTGTCCTAGAGGGTAGTTGACTTGGGTGGCTATCCGGGGGTGTGTGTCCATCTTACAAGAGCAAGGATAGTATCAACACTTATGTGCATCTGCTTCCTTTGATCTAAGTTTATAAAACAATATGATCATTTAAATGTATTTATTAATTAATTTACTATTTATTAACTTACTTTTGTATTCATTCATTCAAAGTTATATATTCAAGATGATCAGTTGCATGACCACTTTGGATTTGTCCTGTATCTATAAACATGAGTAAATGAATATTAGAAGCGTTAAGTATGTATAGATACATATTTGTTACAACAAACAAGAGGAATCGAACGTTAACTTCACTGGTAATAAAATAATGATTACATAGAGCACACAATACCAATGTCCTACGCGTTCTCCAAATTATCAACAATTTCCCCACTGTCATAGACAATTGAGAGAGGCAGTAGTTCCGTCACCGGAAGTTGCTCCTGACTGGTTAGTCATATCATGTAGCCTCAAATAGTTCCCTCTGCGACTTTCTATCAAAACGAGTAGGCAGTAATAGGTTATTTTGCCAAAAACGTTCATGATCTAAATTTGTGTGTCAGTATAAAAATATCATTATATTGGAACAACGGGTATAATTGTGATTCAGTTTATCCGGACTCAATTTAAACCTCAGACCTTGCTCGCCTACGCGTAGCGCAACTTTCTCTCTCAATTCACTATGCTCACCGTTAGCTCTGGCTCCTTCATTAGCAATGTCCACGTATCTCGCGAATAGAGGTTTGTTTGGTATTCCTACTGCATCACGGAACCCCTCCCAAGCCCAGACCAGTTCATCCCAGTCCATAGAGGTCGCCATTATCTGTCCAAACCTAAAAGAAAATGAACACAAAAGAAAGCAAAACACGGACAAGTTAAGCGATTCATCTTACACTTCTATGTTCTTATTTCTAACATCATTTATTTGTGTATCCCTTTCCAAATTTCATGAGTAATTCACTATAACGATAAGACTATTTTGGCTTTATGCATAATATGCCCATTGCACACGAGGTTTTGCGATTGCGTTATTACATGCTCTAGTCATGCAAGAATGTCAATACAACCATGCAGCCCGTAATAACAGGAATTCTAAACATTTTTTGCCCTGTTTATTTTCCATTTACTTTTCGCATATAAGACCCATCTATATCTGCAACTACCTGTAAATTAGCCGCACCAAAGCGGCTATTTTAGAAATATGCTACCGACAGTGGCAGATATAAACGGGTACCAACATAATACAGTGTGTCGCTTCCTGCTTTTCTGTTTCGCGACTTAGTGAAAAAAAATAGTAACATTACCGCGGAGAAAATCACTAAAGGATGCACTGCGGCAATATTGCGTTATTTTGTAAAAATAAAAGGGCTTTGGAAGGCACCGAGTACTGACGCATTCCTACGTCAGGCAAATGACGATATGTGTGAAATATAGGCTGAATGTTGTACATCATGAAGGCTGTCTTAGTACTGTTTATTTGTAGACCGACTTGGCTTGCTGCAGACTCTACTTGTTCAAGGAGCTTCTGTGCCTTTTCCAGATTGTCTGAAATTAGTGCAATATCATCAGCAAAGTCAGTATCTGTGATCATTACAGCAGAATATCTGCTACTTTCTCTTTCCTCTAGGGTAAAGCCCAGATCCTCGAACCATTCAGTAGCCATTCTTAGAGCATAATTCAATGCTACGATGAATAGGTATGGTGCTAAAGTATTGCCTTGGAGCACTCCTGCTAAGATGGTAAAGTAGTCAGTCTCTCCATTTGGTGAACGCACTTGAGCTGTAGTAACTTTGTCCAGCAACCCTACTGCTGTGACTATTGTGTATGGTATTCCGTAGGCTCTTAAGATCTCTAACATCTTCTTCCTATTGATTGAATCGAAGGCCTTCTTAAAACCCACGAACGTAAGTACTGCTGTCAGATGCTTTGCTTTAGTACCTTCCACCAGTCTCCGCAAAGTTAGAATTCGCGCTACTGTAGATCTTCCTAGACGGAATTCATTCTGGTTCTTGTGGAGAAGGGGTTCCAAGTGAGAACGGATTCTATTCAAAAGCTTTATGTTGAATACCTTTGCAGCTACTGGGGTCAGTGCTATACCACGGTAGTTTTGAGGGGTACTTATTTTACCTTTTTGGGTACAGGTATGGTTTCTCGCCATGGATAAGCGTTCTGTTACATACTTTCAAAAGATGTTGGTCAAGGGCACCAGACTTTCATACATCAAGTAATATTTTAGGTGAAATATGAAAGATGCATGCAAAGACACGCACAAATAGTTTGCATTATATATATATATATACGAAAATATAGTATCTAGACATATATTTGATAAGACAATCCGTGAAGCAGCAGATTGCTACCATGTGAGTAGTAAATATATACATGCTTAACTTATGGTAATTACCCAGACTTTTTCGGAAGCGCATAGCATGGGGATTATCATAAACCGAGAACGGACTATCATTCTTACTATTATTCACTCCCTTCACTTATGAAAATATCACGCAGTTTTTCAAAAGGACAAATGATTCCTCGTTTTTAACGGGGTTATACCTCAGTGACACCACCGACACCGACACCAGACCGACAATAGATAGAAAACAATTTGTTTTCCCTGAATGGCAAAAATGTGTCGATGTAGAGTCAGTGTAGAGCCGGTTGGGCGTTATGACTGAGGTTGGGGCAAATGACGCCTCGTGTGCTAAAGACTTGATGCCGACGATGATGATGAATAATGAGGAACTTACCCGGCTCAAGATGTAGACAGTCTGACTGATCGTCAGGCCGGCACACTGGAGTGGAGCTGTATATCTTATTCATCTCACCAAGGATTTCGTTGTACTGTCCAGGATTGAGAAAAATAAGTAAGGGTGTAAATATGAAATTGCGTGTGATCAGAGACAGAAGGGAGTTTTAAAACTTTTTGTTTAATTGCGAGCCAACCCTTGTAATAAGTTCATTCGTATGAAAAACAAAAACAAACTAAGATCTACAGAATGGCGAAGTTTGAAATAAATTGGACCAACAATTCGAAAGTAATTAATGAGATCACCAAGTCTATGCAAATCTTGAATTAGCGTTTTGGTCAGTGGATTTTGACGTAGCCGCGGACAACTCCTTTGTTTGTCGTGTGCAAAAATGTCATTCATTTTCTCCTAAGCGCCTTTTCTCTTGCAGCACTACTCAATTTTTTTTTGATAGCAAATGATTGTTTCCTCCAAAGTAGTTTGCTATCAAGATTGGATTGTCGAAGCAGCTAACCCATCTTTTTTTTGCTTTACAGTATCCTGGAGAAACCCATCCCACAGTGCAGTATAAGCCTTCTCTAGGAGTATAACAAACATTCCGGGCCTTCACACGAAGTAGTAGGGGAGGGGGGGGGGTAGGCCAATCTGCCCCCTTTTTCTGATTGAGTTCCGTGATGCTTTGAAAGATGAAAATTGAGCAGATAGCAATAGATTTAAGGGGAAAAACCCAAACACTGTTATTAGGGACTTTTAGATTTGCACATCGACATAGTGGACTGCTACGTGTGACGTCCTTTTAAGGCATTTTGACGTCCTTTTAAGGCACTGCCAGTGCCTTAAAGAGCGTCAATATTACTGGGCTAGAAGGGATTAGACCATACAGTGAGGTCACTGACAGGTGGCTATCCCGTTAATTCAGCTCTCAACTAACATAAGAAAAAGAGGATCATGGGGGACCAACAGGCACCGATTGGGGAAGTTTTCTATATAGAGGGAGCAAGTAGCTACAAGTAGGACAGTGGGGCTTTAAAAGGACGTCTCATGTAACAGTCCACTATGTCGACGTGCAAATCTAAAAGTCCCTATTATCTTTACTCTGAGTCTCAACCCCATTATCTGTGTTGTCTAGATCTCTCTCTCTCTCTCTCCCTTCAGACACAAGGTCGGGTTCAACTGAATTAGTAGAATGAAAACCATAAGTGTGAATTACTTTGAATGTAATCAAAAAGAATGAATGAATCATTTGTACTCACCTCCTGGACGGTATCATTGTCCAGGGCAGCTACTCCGATGCCGGATATAATACCAAGTAGACGTTGAATATCTTCGGGAAAGCTCTCAATGACGTCATCAAACTCGCGAGCCTTCATCGCATATCTCTTACTGAAAGCTGCTGTCTTTAGACTGGCTTCAACCTGTCATAATAATAAAAGGAAACAGAATTTTGTTATTTTTTGTACATTATTTCTTAAATAGTATTTCTTATATTAAACAAAACGTAGAACAGTAGAAGTAGAAAAGTAGAATACAAGTCATACGGAGTAAACATAGTAACATGGCTTGAGAAAAGTAAAAGAAATAATGTGACAAAGTAGTGGCATAAACATAACATTAAGTTTATAAAGGCAAATGGCAGGTTTGTATGATTTTACAACATACATATCAAAAGCACGAAACAGGTTTGAAATCTCGTACTATAGGTATGCCCTTACATGAATGGATGTACAAGGATAGTGAATCAAACAAAGAAATTAAGCAGTATGTCCTGTACTTTTAAGTGATAGCTTAGATATCGGTTGGTTTGATAAACATGTATACATTTATCTTAAAGGTAATACAAAGTTTCGGTATGGGGTCATGACTTTGGTTCAAATGAACATATTGGAAGCATATATGATCCTACAATTTTCAGTGATCATTGCCGCGGTCGAAATCGACTCTTAAGTTATGAAATTGTAAATGATTAACACTTTATGTTGAATAGCTCCCTCTCAAGGCCAAGATATTAATTAAGCTAAAAAAACGATGTTTATTGACTAAAATCGACCGATTAGCTATTCCCGTTCGGAAACTATATACCACAACTACATACTCTGAGGTTTTCATGGTCGCAGCTAACATTGTACGGCCGTAGGAGCTATTTGAAATTTATCAAAATTTACCGGGAGCACCGGTAAATCTTTATATTCAATTTTTCTCGAAAGCATAAGTGCTTTAGGAGCTAAACTTTCGGGTGTTTTTAATACATCCACAGGGGCATCCAAATGTATCAAAATTATAAAGAATCACTATCCACCCATTTTTCAAATTTACCACAACTTTGTAATACCTTTAAGATTTGATTACATCATTTGTATCATTACATAATTTTGATCACATTATGTATTGATTTTTATTCATGAACCCTTCGATATGATAATTAGACACTTACATTTGATGCGCACGCATTGTAGCCACGTACGAGTTTAATGACCATGCCGTATAGATTAAAAGTACAACAAGTTTAAAACAATTGTCGATACAAGTCCAGCATTGCTCAAAAAAACAATTTGTGTGATACAAAGGTATATTTGAATCCAGCGATCAGATTACAATAACAAGATAAAAGTGAAAATAAAGAAGTACAAAATATACAGCATTAACCTTTTCATCAATACAATATTGTATTCATCATATGATTGTCAAACTTGTTAGGTATGGCCAAGAAGTTACCAGCAACTTTTCGAATAGGTGAACATATTTGGTCATTACATCATAACTAATCAAAATATTAGTAGGCCAAAAATTAAAAAGATTCCTAGTTTTTCGGTACCCTCTTCTCGGTCTAATAAATGATTCCTTTCTTCAGCTAGATTTCAAAGGATGATGATAATGATGTTTCACAGCATTTGTATGAAGTCATATATCTGTTATCACTTGTGAATTAATCATGGACATCGAATTTTAGTATTCCTTGTTTTCCAGATTGCTTGCGCTACCCTTTACACTTGCGCTGAAACATCACCGACTGGCTCAGTGATGTTTTGGCATATTATGGTTGGTAATGCGCATGTGCAGTCCTCCCGACCTTTGACTCTGGCCCTGCCATTTTATGGTAACAATCCGAAAGTGCCGAAAGTCACGTGACAAAAATCTAGATTTTTCAGCTGCTACGGTTTACATTACCAAACATCACCAAACATCACGCGGACCTTTCAAAAAATCTCACACTGGCTT